AGAGAGAGAGGGGGGGGAGGGACAGAGAGATATAGAAAAAGGGGTGGGGGTGAGAAAGAGAGAGAGATAGAAAGAGAGAAAGAGAGAGAGAGAGACACAGAGAGAAAGAGAGTGATTGGGAGAGAGAGAGAGAGAGAGAGAGAGAGAGAGAGAGAGAGAGAAAGAGAGAGAGAGAGAGTGATTGGGAGAGAGAGAGAGTGGTGGGGGGAGAGAGAAAGTATTGGCTGAACACAGGGAGCAATGGTTATGTGCCTGCTGCTGCTGTTACTGCTACTGGTGAGGCCCCAACAGTCTCAGTGCTGGCCCATGTTAGCATCCCTCTAACCGTCCTTATCTCCCCTCCTTTTTATTTTGTATCTTACTCCCTAGCAAAACTTCGGCACTTGTATGACCTATTTGTGTTGTAAATGCCATAAAACTCTTGCTAAATTTAAAACTCCTTCTTTTCTTTACATGTTCCTCTCTACTAGTTCTAGCAATACCTCTTATCTTTGGCGATCTTGCCTACTTGTTTTGCTACTGCTGTGAAACAACTCTTTAAGGAAACAAAAGAAAGATTCTTTATTTTCAGTATTTCTCAGCAAAACTCTTACAAAAACAAAAGAAAAATTCTTTATTCTCAGTATTTCTCAGTAAAAATCTTACAAAAACAAAAGAAAGATGCCTTATTCTCAGTATTTCTTAGTAAAAATCTTACAAAAACAAAAGAAAGAGTTTTTATTCTCAGTATGTATTTCTCTGAAAAACTCTTACGAAATCAAAAGAAATACATGTATATTCTTTATTCGCACAATTTCTGTCGTTTTTTTCTGTGACAGCGTGGCCCCAACAAAGTCCCCGTGCTAGCCCTTGTGGTGATCACTCTAGTCGTCCTCCTGTTCATCTGTCTCGGTGACGTGAACTCCCTGGCGCCGGTGGTCACCACGGCATTCATGTTGACCTACGCCGCCATCGACTACTCCTACTTCGCTCTGGCCATGAGCTACGACAAACGCCAATCGCGAGAGGACCGCTTCCGGGTCAATGGGGCAGGGGAGGAGAGGAGGCTGAGTACAGGGAGCAACGGTTATGTGCCTGCTGCTACTGTTACTGCTACTGGTGAGTAGGCCTACTGATGGAGAGAGAGAGAGAGGGGGAGGGATGGGGAGGAGAGGAGGCTGAGTACTGGGAGCAACGGTTATGTGCCTGCTGCTACTGTCACTGCTACTGGTGAGTACTGATGGAGAGAGAGGGAGAGAGAGAGAGGGAGGGGTGGGGAGGAGAGGAGGCTGAGTACTGGGAGCAACGGTTATGTGCCTGCTGCTACTGTCACTGCTACTGGTGAGTAGGCCTACTGATGGAGAGAGACGGGGGTGAGAGAGGGAGGGGAGGGGGGGAGAGGAGGCTGAGTACAGGGAGCAACGGTTATGTGCCAGCTGCTAATGCTATTGTCACTGCTACTGGTGAGTACTGATGGAGAGAGAGAGGAGAAAGAGAGAGAGATGGGGGAGAGAGAGAGGGAGAGAGGAGGCTGAGTACTGGAAGCAACGGTTAAGTGCCTGTTGCTACTGTCACTGCTACTGGTGAGTACTGATGGAGAGAGACGGGGGTGGGAGAGAGAGAGAGA